GTGTTCTCCACTTTCAGCCAAGATCCACCTGACATCAGCAATGATAACCCCTGATCCACATCCTCTTCTTAATCCAGCTTCCATTTCTGGATGTTCCCTGTCCATATACTGCTGCAACTGGTTTTGAATTATTTTTATTAAGATTTTATTTGTGTGTAAATACATGATATTGTTTGATAATTTCGACATTCCAGTAGATCACCACTTTTGGAATGCACACAAATACTGATCTCTTCCAGGCAGTTGGCCAGGTAGCTCATTTACAAATTTCTTGGCATAGGTAAGTGTCATGGTTGGAGCTGTTTGTCAACTTGGCTGAACCACAATTCTGTGTGGTTTAAGCTGTTGTGATGTGGTCATTCCCACGATGGGATCAGATGATTATGTTTTAAGAAGCCAATCTGTTGAAAGGGAGTTTCCCTAGGGGTGTGGCCTGCTTCCAGTATTATCTATGGACATCCTGGGAAAAGAGACATTCTTCTGTGGATCAGGATTCTGTTGTGCTGTCTACAACTACCCATGAGTGAACAATCTGCCATTCAGCCTGGAGATCTTTGATTTGTCATTTGTTGGAGTCAACAGCCAGTGTACTGCCTGCCAGCCTTCACCTTCTCAGTCCCTACAGTTGCAAGAGTCGGGAAAAACCTCCAGCTTGACATTTGATCCAGGAACTTTGGAATTTCCAGCTTCTATAAGTATGTGAGCCATTTTCCTAAGATAAATTTCTCTATATATACATACATATAAGCTTTACTGGTTTTGTTGCTCTAGAGAATCCAGTCTAACACAAGTAAGTGCCTGCAGCGCGGCATCTGTTTGTTGAAACATATCAATGGGTAGTCCATCAATTCCTGAAGCTTTTTTTTTTTTTCTTACCAATTCCTTCAGTAGATCTTTGACTTCTTCCTTCAGTACAATTGATATTTCATCATATACCATCTCCTGAAATAGATTAACAACAACCAACTCTTTTTTGTACATTGACTACGTATATTCCTTCCAACTTCTATTTCATATTTCCTGCATCATTCAATATTTTGCCCAAAGAATCATTCAATATTGTGACTTGAGGACTGAATTTTTCTTTATTTCTTTCTGCTGGAGAAATGCTA